AAAATTGTAAGGTCAGGTCGGGTGGAGAGTATTATGGAAGATATGATGAATCTGGTTGTCATCCAGGTCCTTTTGCTAAATTCCTTGAAGCTACTTCTAGGGCGCTTGAACAAAATGTCCTTTTGCTAAATTCGTTGAAGCTACTCCTGGGACGCTTGAACAAAATGGGATTGCAGAAAGACGTAACCATACTCTAAAGGATATGGCCAAGAGCATGATTTGTAGATCGCAGAAAGACGTAACCATACTCTAAAGGATATGGCCAAGAGCATGATTTGTAGGTCTTCCTTGTCTGTTTTTTTGTGGGGGTGAAGCCCTTAAGGTTGCCAGTTATATTTTGAATAGACCAAATATATTTTGAATAAGGTTCCTAGTATCTAAATTTTTTTTTGAGTTGTGGACCGGTAGGAATTCTAGTTTAAGACACTTTTATGTTTGGGATGTAAAACTGGAGTTAGAATCTATACTCCACAATAAAAGAAGTTACACTCAACCATTTTGTTATCCAGATAGCTTTAAAGGTTATAGTTTCTATTGTCCCAATTCAGGTACTAAGATTGGTAGGATTAATCGTTTAGGTTTATAAATGATTTTGACATAAAATGAATTATACATATGGTGGGTAGATGGAAGAATCCATATATGACTTAGATCAATTACTGAGATGGACGTATTTAAAGGTTAATCATTCTTTATTGAAATTATGGTTAATGAATGCATATACCTCAGGGTTAGTGGGAGTACATTTATTTTCCTTCCATTTTATGTTGCAAACAGTGATATAGTTTACTTTTAGAAACCAAGACTATTTTATATATCACAAAATTTTAAAATAAAAGATCTTAGTGAGACATTATTTGTTTTTGATATTAAAATTCATATAGAAAAATAAGTGATGAAAAATAAGCTAAGCCTTATGCTTCTGTTGTTGGTAGCCTAATGTATGATCAAGTATATACTTGTCCAGACATAGCATTTGTAGTTAATGTGTTTGGGATATTTCAAGCTAATCCGAGCGTTGCGTTGCTGCAAAGAAAGTTTTGTGTTATTTGCAAAGAACTTAGGTTTTTTGCTTACTTATTGTAAGGGTGATAATCTTGAGGTAATAAGATATATAGACTTTGATTCTACAGGTTATCCTAATGATATGGAATCCACTTCTGGTTACATATTTAAGTTAGCTGGAGGTGTTATTTCATGGAAAAGTGCTAAATAGTGCTACATTGCTTAATCTACTATGCAAGCTAAGTTTGTAGCCTGTTATGAAGCCACTTCTCAGGTTATTTGGTTAAAGAACCTTATTAAAGGTATTCATGTAGTAGACTCGATTTCTAAGCCCATGCAAATATTTTGTGATAATAACACTGCCGTATTCTATTCCAAGAATAATAAAAAGTCTTCTGGTGCAAGGCATATGGATATCAAGTACTTGCTTGTAAGGGAGAAAGTGAAGGAAGAACAGATAGTGATTGACCACATAGAAACTAAGGCAATGATAGCAAACCCACTAACCAAAGCCTTACCCATTGGGTTATTCAAGAACCGTGTAATTAGTATGGATTTGGTGAATTCTTTTGATATACTTGGATAGTGGGAGGCTTATTTATTTGTTTGCTCTTATTTTGTGGCATTCAAATGAACTATTTGTAGTCTTATTTATTTATTTATTTTGGATATTAGTAGCTCATAAAGTTTTGGAGCATTATTATTCCTATTATTATATTCATGAATATTTATGTGCACATATGATATTATGAATTTTGAGTCTCGTGAAGAGATATAAATTTTGACAGACTACAATTATATTTAGCATAAGGTTAAGGCTAAACTTTTGTTATACCTCATGTCATAAGGTTCTTACAAACATAAATGTGAAAGGCATAGTTGTCTTGTATTAAATATAGAAAGGCTTCTAGTTTGAAGTATAAGGGGTTTTGTAAAATACCATAAAGTTAGACCGTTATGGATATAGCATAAATAATCACATAAAGATGTTATTTCCATGTATTCCATATTTTGTCAGGGATCCATGTGAATGATGGTGCTAGTGTTGTGATTATAGATGGTTATGTATGATTAAATGTACATAAATCTCTATAGTTCGCACTAGTGGTATCTTTTGACAGGATCTTAAACTAAGGTATTTTCATATTTGGTTTCTGTGGCCACTTAAGTTATCCAATCCGAAATTTTATTTTACTTTTTAAAAGAAATTTTTATTTCTTTTTTTTTTTTTTAATCAATGTTTGCCCAAGTGGGAGAATGTAGGGCTTTCATTGATTAACGTTATTAAAATTTGGATTGATGATTGAAACCATATATATGATTACCAGATACCCTATTAAGGTGATTATAAATTATTGGGTTATGGTATACCTTAATCACATGTAATCATGTGTTATGTGATATGGATAAGGATATAAATATATATTAGCATTATATACGGTTACCTATAATGCGCTAAACATAACTCACGTTACGTTGGATTTGTTGTTATCTGATAAAGATCCCTTGATGGGAGGGATTTTATCAAATACTTTATATATATATATTGTTTGCCCCCATTCTCACACATACGCTTAATTCAGTTTAGTCTAGCCCCATTGAATAGACATCTGAGTAAAAGTGGAGAGGGTGGAGGATCAAGCAAAACGTTCTTTTTGCAGATCTTGTACGTTGTTCTACTTCTAGGTGTGTAATAGCTTCCGCAGGTATTTATTATTACATGCTGTTAATTATTATATTGTTGTGTTTTAAGCATGTTTATGGTTTCTAGATTTGTTTACTGTACTCTCATTCCTTCTTCTTTTTTTCTTTCTTTTTAATGTTGGTACTATTGTGTTGCTTTTGCTTATGTTGTTGACTGGGTTCCATTTTTTGTGAAGGAGGATTTGGCAATTAGAATTTTAACCCTAATAAGGAAGGATAATTATGGTATCAAAAATAATATGAATCAAACATTGTGTGGTGTGAGAAAGAGAGAAATAATTGTGGATTTTTTAAAACTAAAGTCGCTTAGAGTAATAAAAATCCTGTCATCACCATTAACAAGTTTTAAAGGTTGTGAGTGAACAGCCGGATTCTTTAAGTATATGATATTTCTTCATTGATTATACAATTGCTGCCCGCAAAGACTCAGCTTAATTTACCTAAAATTACCAGACTTTTGAGAGAGAGAGAGAGATATATATATATATCCCGGCAATGGTGCAACCCGAGCTCAGTTTGATACTTAATTAATTATTTTTATAATTAAGGTTAAACTTCGTAATGAATTTCAACTAGAACTTAATTAGAATTAGACTTTGATTAAGGTCTTTGCAATCTAAGTTCATCACAATTTAAATTCTAATGTTATTTATTTTGAATAATGATAACCTTTTTATTTTTCAATTTCTTTTTGTTTAAATCTTAATTTATCATATATTAATATTTTGGAATTTTAGAGAATTAATTACCTAACATTTTATTTAAAGATGGGTGTTAGGAATAATTAAGGGATTTATTTTTTATTTTTTTAAAAAAATTAAATTAAATTAAGTTTTTAGAACATTTTATGCAGAGGAGTAACCTAACTCCTTAGATCTTCTCACTTCTCAGCTTGTATTACACATAGGGGGGGTATTGTGTCGATATAAGGGTATTATACTAAATAGGTAAACCCAAACCTAACCTATTTAATAATCATGTCAAGAATCTTCAACACTAACCCAACCCGTTTATTAAACAGGTAAACATGTTAACTCGTTTAATGACCTATTTATCAAAAAGAGATATTTAATACTTAATCAAATAGTAAATAATAATAATAAATTCTCATAATTAACCCAAATATTCAAAATAAAAAGAAAAATTATAAGACATAGACAAAGTTTATATTGAAATGACTTAATTATCCATAGTAATTGAGTTTAAACATATAACATATTATATAGGTTATATCTACGATTATAACATGTTGAGTTAAATTGGTCATAAACGAGTTACACGGATTGAACCCCTCAACCCTAACCCGACACGGTTAAGTAAACGGGTTAATCGTATCGATCCTTTTATTGACCCAAACTCGTTTACGCCAAATCCAAACCCTTTTAATTCGTATCGTGTCGTAATTTGCCACCCCTAATTACACAAGTGTATGTATGCAATAATAGTTCTAGATTATGCAAAAACTGACCTAATTTGATTGAATTTAGATACTAACCTAGTCAACTGATCAACCCAACTATGTTCAAACTCAAGCTAGTCTTCTTTAAGAGCAGCCGCAACGGGCTAGCTAAAGCTCGCTTTTAGCGATTTGGGAGCCCAAAGCCTGTGCAACGGGTTATCGGAAAAGGGCGGGGCCCATTTTGCCTTGCGGGCCGGCTCGCGATTGCTGTTTTTTTTTTTTTTTTCCCTAATGCAAAAAGGCACCGTTTTGCATTAGCCCTTTTTTGTTTTGTTTGAAACGGTGCTAAACAGTGTGCACTATGTGCTGAACAGTGCCTTTGGCCGTATGATTTTTTTTTTAAAGAACCTAAAAATAAGTTATTTTGAGCTCTTTTAAAAATAAATAAATAAATAAAATTCATTAAATAAAAAATATATTATTTAGGCACTGTTTGTCCAAAAATAAATTTATTTGGGCTAAAAATAAATTAAAAAACCTTTTTTTTTCTTCCCTTAAATTTTTTTTTATTTTTTATTTTTTTGTTTTAAATTTTAAATGTGTACCGCAAACTATGCATTTGGCCGTTAAGGCACTGTTTGGCTGACACAAATAGCGCCTTAAAGGCTATAATTTTTTTTTTGAGAGCGAAAATCCAGAGAGCTTGATGGAGTGCATATTTCTGAAGAGCCAAAGTTACTGACATGGTTCTTTGAATTGCTGACGTAACTCTTGGAAAAGTTAAAATGACATTTTTAAAGAGCTAAAATTTGGAAAAGCTGGTGCAGATGGCCTAAGTCATACAAAATGAAGTAAATCAATTAGGCAATATCTTTGTGCATAGAGATTTCAATTAGGAAGAGATATAGATATATATATAGGATCAATCTTTTTCGACGTCTACAAAAAAAACTACATACAAGAACTTCATTATCAAAAGACATAAAGAGCAAAAAGGTTCCAAAGAGACTAACATTGAACTCATACTTCTCTCTGGATCTATTAGCCTTATCTTCAACTCCTTCAATTTCCTCTCTCTACCATCTTAATTTTCTTCATCTCTAGCTAGCTAGCTAGCTACTGAAGGGTATGAAATTGTATGTTGTTGAGTTTGAATTAAAAGCAAGCCCTTAACAACATGGTCAAATTAATGTAGTATTATTAATTGTGTGTGACAGTGACTAGTCTAGTCTTGGCGCCTTTACTGTACTGCTTTACCTTTCAGAGCCTCAGCAAAATGTAGTAAACTAAAGTAATAGGCAGAGCGATTAACATTCCAAATATGACCCTGCAACACAAAATTTTAATCAAAATGATAATAAAAACATAGCATCAATTATGTGGGTGCTCTTCTGCATATAATCGCTACGCACCGTGCATCACTCTCTATGAACTTTGATGCACAAACATTTGTATCTTCACATAATGATGCCATATATATGGCATGCAAACATACGTAAAAACTTTCAAATGCGAATTCATATATTAGTAGGTATGTAATTCAAACCCGGTGCTCAGTATGTCAGGATGAACATCGTATTCCTTGGCAAAGACAAAAGGGACAATTCCTTGTGGAAGAGCTGCCTGAAATTTCAACCGAACAAAATAAAATAAAAACAAAGAAAGCCAAAAGTAAAAGTAATGTGCAAAATATTGAAATGTAGGTAAACAAATTATGCTGATGTATTTTTCAAGTCCTGTTACCTGAACAATTGCAATATGCAAGAAAACCCCTCGTAGTCCAACAGCAATTGAGGCGGCAGCCATGACAGCCGGACCCGTGAGGAATCGAACAGCCATGGTAAAGGCAGCAACTGAGTTCCCGCAAGCAATGATTTTAGGCTGTAATGCCATGAACAAACCTGCGTATAGCTAGCTAGTAAATTTTCTAACACCAAATTAGGCTATAAAAATACTACACTACTTTTTGTTAGTACTAGATTTCCCTGAAACTATGCTAAAAGTTTGAATGGCTTTCAATGTCATCATACCAAGACTAAACATGGCCATTCCGAGACCAGCATCAGATAGAATAGATATTGATTTTGCCATTATTGCAGGCATAACAATGTTCCACCTGCAAAGATTATAAATAGTAATGAAGACAACATTCAAAAAAATACTGCTGAATATTCCAGTTTAATTTTTACGCACTTGAATGAGACCAATGACCAAGTGAGACCAAAGAGGCTGGAATAAGTATTTGGATTCCTAATGAGTTTTCTCCACACCATAATCAGAATGAGTCTAGTCACAACACTGGCAGGCGGCATGGAAGTCGGCTTGGGTTCCCCGTGATTAACAACAGTCCTGGGATGCAGCTCAGCCATGGAGCTTGAAACGAGCTTGGAGGGCACTGGCCCATCCCTTTCAGGGACCGTTTCATTTCCCAAACTAAACTCATCTCCGCCAAATTCATCATTACCTAAACACAATAGATAAATTGTACATCATTGAATTCAACCCTAAACTATAAATAAATAGAAGGAACAATATTCCAGAAATGTATATGTAGATTAATATGATACTCCGTATAAGATTTAAGCAACACCACATCACATGCAAGGAAACAACGAATTAAAACAATTAAACCCGTGACTTTAACAGCATTGATTGAAGAAGTTAAAATGTTCATACCTCTTGGGTGAGCCACCCCACTAAGATCATTATTCCCCATATAATCTCCTGCCCTGAAGACATGAATCCCTCCTTGGGACACAGACACCGGGGAAGCGCTTGAGCTCCAAACAAACATGTGAAGGTCTTTTCCACCACCTGTTCCGTTCGCCTTCTTCTGTGCAGACACCGGAGAGAAAATTCCGGCACTGGGAGGTGTTGGGTACCCAGAATTGGGCGCCTGCCCATAAACTCCATTAGCTCTGGAATGGTTCCCCACAGCGCCACTTGCACTCTCCTCATCAAAACCCAAGTTCCCCAAATTGGATTGAATAGGAATAGGAATAGGAATAGGACTGGCATTGTTTCCGTTGACCATAGAATAGAAATCGGTGTGGTTAAAGCTGGAACCCCTTGGGGTGGGGTTTCTAGAAGTCTGCACGGAGTAAATCTCAGCATTGGTCAAATTGGAGGGTCGGGGTGTCAATGAAACAACAGAATGAGGGCCGTGGGAGGGCCGCGAAAAGATATCAGATTGGGAACTGGTGGATTTTCTGAGAATGACATGAAGCTTTCCGTCTTGACCAACCTGGGCCTCAGTTTGTAATGGGTCTTTACCATCCAAAGACAAGATATCAGAGTCAACTGTGAATGAAATGATAGAGGATGCAGTGTGTGGGAACTGTTGAGCGATGAGAAGCCTAGCTCCTCTGTACTCGAACATGAACAACATCAGAGTGTACCATATAATGCATTGGAGGACTACTATTTGAACCATAAGGGCACCAGACAAGTCACCATACATGCCTTTCAACAAGGGGATCCCCATGACAAGAGTGTTTGGAAGTGTAGAGAGAGAGAAGAGTGTGATGGACCATTCAAGAGTGGCAAAAGTTGTTGAGCTGATTCTTGAGCAGATGGCGAGAGCAACAAGGACTATGAATTTCTGAAGAGCGTCAGCAGCAATGAAGGTGTAGTTCATGGTATAGGGGTTGTTGGTGGAGATGAAGTGAAAGGAAAGGAGAGGGACAGCAAAGAGGGCGACGAATCGGTTGATGCCCAAACACTGGTCAGGGCTGAAGATTTTACACCATTTCACTGAAGCATAGGCTAAGATCATGGCCACATAGAGTGGAACAACGGCTGTGAGAACATGGTAAACGTCTGAGACTGTAATCATTTTTTTTATATATATATATTTATATTTATATTGAACCAACGGCTGTGAGAATATATAAGCAGAGCAGATGAATGAAATGGGCTTATGGTTGAATCACAAAACTCAAGAAATGAAAGAGAAATAAATATGAGTGGGAAAGGGACGTTGAGTTGATTTGATTTCCCTCTTCAGCTAGTTTAGTTTTAGAGAGAGAGAAAGGGAAGGAGTAGGGAGTGCAGGACAAGGACAGAGAGACAGGCAGGTGGTGGTGGTGGTGTATTCTTGAGGAAGAGGGGAGTGGGGGCTAGCTGCTTCCGCCGCAGTAGCGTCTCGAATCAATACCAGTATTTATGACAATTCACAAACAAACCAAGAACAGCTGGACCCTCTTCTTTTCTGATGAGATGCTTTTTTCCATTGTCTTTTGATCCGATCCGATCATGTGTTTTGTTTGGGGAGGGAAAATATTTTGTGAGAGAACAAATTTTAGAGAGTGAAATTTAAATGTGGTGCGACTCTAACATTACTCCAAAGGATAAAAGCAGCATCACCTCTCATTCTGATTGTGAGAGCCAAAAGACTAAACAGCGTCCCATACAGAAACAAAGAAAAGGAGAATACGGCCTAACAAGATTCTCCCCACTTTCGCATTTATATATATATATATATATATATTTGGGTTTTAATCCGTTGGGTGAAAACTGGACTCATTTTTAAATTGATCTTGGGTGAGATGCACCATACTAGTGGAATAGAAAATTGTGTCTATACAGCGGTCACTTGTTCAAGTATACATTATATGTCAAAATCATATGTTCTCTTTCTTCTCATAAATTATTATCCAATGCCAACACACTTTAATACTATTCCTCCTTTCCTAACTGACCTTTTTCATTCCATCCGTACACCGTTTGAATTATTATTAGAGTACTATATTAGTGAAAAACACGCATCTAAAACATAGGGCCTCCGCCTCTCGCAACAATTTGAGGTGAGGCTCTACATTATGTAGTTAGATATAATACTTCGAAAATAGTCAAAATACTGTTTTGCATAAATAAGGTTTTTACATATATATACACACACAACAAAACACAACACTGTAGTTATTTCAATTATGAACAAACTAACCCTAATAAAATGTGTAAAATATTTGATATTTTGTTAGGTCATGATAAAAATTGTACATCATGAGTACTTTTTCAATTTTGAAAGTAACATAATTAATAAGAAACTGTCCAGCATTAGTTAGAACATGAGTAGTTAGTTAAACAAGACCATTTCTCATTCAATGATTAACGATTAATCTTGATGCATGTAAACATAAGGAAAAGGCATGGTCTTCATCTATAAAGATTTTAGTCCTCCCACTTTTTAACATGTGTTAGAAATGGATGATATTTGACATACAAATCACACTTCTCATCCCTGCTGCTTGCTATTGCTACTGTTGTGGCACAAGAAAATCTAAAAAGTTTAAAAGAGAGCAACAAAACAAAACAGCGTAGAAGGATAATAAAAATGCCTGGTCGAATGAATGAATTATTGATTACTGTATCCCAGGGAATCCCAATTGCACTCAAATACTAGTCGCCCATTGTGCGTGTATATATATATATATATAGTAGGTCTGCTTAGGGGAAAACTAAATTTAGGTGGTCTGATATTATACATGAGGGTGTTTGTTGACAACTTGACACATACTGTGTTTCTTTTTTTTTTTTCTTTTTTTTTCTGGTAAGAATGAATTGCTTTTCTTGCTGTGAAATTACAACAACAATCCACTGTAGTTTAAATTCAATGCCAATATATATAGGTAGGGCGGGCGCTTTTCTGCAGGTCTCACTCAAGCCGCGGTGACATGAAATAAAGCCAATGCATACAATTTACATACAATTAAGCAGCAGCAGCTCAATCTCCTTTGCACCAGTAAATTAATTTACATACAATTTACATACTGTTTTGCTCTAACTATCCCGATTGGAGGAAAACAGACACAAACACTGCTTATATTTTGTAGTATTATTCGTTTTTAAAAATGCGGAAAACAAAGAAAAAAAAAATATTAAAATCCCAAGTACTAAAAAAACAATAATACTAGGACAAGATAGATGGCCGGCCCATATTAAACTAAACAAACACCTTCACCATTCATCAACCATTATGCATGTACATGGCTTCTCCGTCTCCTCACACCACAAAATAGCCTAACTCACAATCAAACCAATGCCAACCTCAAGTTGTAGAATAACAATCCAACGCCTATCAACATTGTTCAAGCCTTGGCTCTTCATCCAACCATTTTTCAATTTACCATTGAAACAATCAGTTTTCCTTTTATATACTTTTTACAAGAACTAAAATCACTTATTTATTTATTTTACTCCTCTTAACATCTCATTCTCAGTCACTGTGAACCTCATCTAATCATAGTTATTCAAATTATAAAACATTATATAAACACATAATGGATTAAAAATTTAGTATAGACCAAATCAGATTTGCATTTTTTAGTCAAATTGTTAAACATTCTGTGAAACTGAGATTGGCAAATATATATATATAGGATAAGACAAATTTGGATTTTTGCAGTCAGTCCTTAATAATTGGGACAATGTTTTCTCGAGTTGAGTACATATTATAATAAAGATTCAAAGGGAAGAGAAAATGGGAACACCTGGTAATGTAGCACCTGCATCAACAATGAAAATGTTGCCCGTCACATATTGTGAAGAGTCATGGATCATGTATCGTACCAGCGAAGTCAATGCTGGGTCCGTTGCGCCAAAAGTTCTTAAAGGAACAGTTTTCAAAGCCACATTGTCAAGCCAGTCCTTTTGCATGAGACCCTCGGTGATCTCAGATCTGAAAAGTCCTGGTGATATTGAGTTTACTCTGATTTTGTGGGGTGCCAATTCCAAGGCCATGACCTGTTATATTATTGTTTCTAGAATAAGTCAACATGTTTAATCCTTAGATACAAAATTCAGAAAACTTTTGACTGGAAGCCCAATAACTTAGAAAGAGAAAAACATGACACCAGTATGTACTACGAAAAACAACAACAAAATGCCAATGGACCAACACTTAAAAAATGTTACGAAAACAAACAAGGCGCAAATAAAGGTACAGAAATAACCAATCATGAATGCATATTATGTAAACTAGTTGTTAACATAATCACCAGTCATGGGGTTTCATGTAAACTAGCATTTTAAGATGTAATAAACTTGCATGACAAAGAAAGCAACTCTGTCAAATATATATGGTGAGTAGATAAAACTTCTAAAATACACAGGAAGGATGGGAAACATGAGGTTGAATATGGAGTTCGTACTTCGTAGAAACAACCTGGGCAGGCATAATATTGAGTAAAACAATGGAGAATCTTGAATGCAATTAAATACAGAAAGGATGGGAAATCCCAATGAAGTTATTTATTGCTAATATATTAAATGACAATTTGCTGAAATAATCAGTTCACTTCCAGATATTTATTTTATTTTTAAAAGTAATTTCTTGAGCTCTAAGTAGTAGATATTAAACCAGGAATAGTTCCTTGTACAAGCTTGGTAGTTACTTGTGTAAGACGAGCATTTACTGATGCAGAATAAATATAAGAAACTTGGAATAAGCTGCCTACTACTAATTGTAGGCTTTGACTGAATGGAAGTGATTTTGTAAAGTTTGTTGATTGAATGGATGGAATTTCGCTTGGTTTTAGAAGTGATGGCTACTGGAATTGCAGACAACTAGTTACATAAATTGGGTAAAGTCATGGTTGATGACGACCGGAGAGGATAGGGTCTTGGTGATGTAATTAGGTCACTATGGGACCGTAAACGTAATTCAAGAACAATACTCGAAGAGATAATGTGTACGAATCTTGGATCCCAACAAAATTTCCTTAGGATTTACTCCCTAGGGTTGGGTTGCATCACATAAAGAATCTTCAATCCTCTAAAAGTCAACTCCATTGAATTAAAAGAAAAATAATCGTAGGCTGTTGGGTTTTTATAAGGACTCCAAATTAAGAAACTTACACCTTTTTGACCACTTAAGAGTTAAGACTATTCTAGACCTACTGAAGACTCGTCACATAAAACCCATATAACATAACTTCAACCAAAACATATCATAGCATAGAAATTATGATACATGTTAGCTGGAAAACGTGTAATATATTATAACCTCAACTTTCAACCAACTGCAGAACATGTTGAAGGTATTACCTTTGTCATGGTATTTAGGCCTGCCTTCGAAGAAGCATAGGCAACACCTCCAGGTAACTGCCCGCGATTAAGACCAGCAATAGAAGAAATATTGATAACTGATCCGCCGAGATTAGCATCACGCATGCGTATACAAACGTATTTTGACACCAACCATGAACCTGTTAAGTTTGTTTTAATATTATTATTCCATTCTTCCTCTGATAAATCCAACGGACCATGCACGCCACCTAAGATAAACACACACAGCTTAGGATAGACTTAAGGATCTCAAATCAATACTGCAGAAGTAAAATGACAAGTTATACATTATAACCTTTGGTTATCCAATGAAGAATGTATTAATCTATCTTGGTCTATAGAAAGTCCGCTTCACAAACAGCGAAAAAAAATAAAAATAAAAAAATAACGGATGAATAATAAATCTTTAATACTCCTGTCGGTTAAGATAGTTCATACTATGCTAACAAAAACGTTTATAAATGATAAATTCATTCTAGAGGCCAACAAATGGGCAAAGAGAAATAATTTGTAACAAATTGTTTGCTGATGAGGATTCTATCTCAAAATTCTCTCTTTTTTTTCTTTCTTCTTTCTTTCTTTCTTTCTTTAATTTTTATATGAGTGTGGATTTTTGTCTAATGGTAATGACTTCCAACAAAATGACAAATCAGGCATTCAAGCACAGGGCTAATACACAACAAATAAGATTGGAAGTAACATAAAAAGAGATCATCCACAGCACCACCACAGAAAGCAATTGGAAATATATAAACAATCCACCATGAGAAATGGAATCCCAGTTTCTGAAAATCAGCCAAATATAAGCATTGGAAAAGGAAAAGTAAATACAAGATTATCTTTGGTCTGAAAGGAAGGATTTGACACCCTTCCTGGTTTGTGTTTTTTAAAACTTTTTATGTAATCCATCTGTTTCTAATAAGAAAAATAATACCAATTATTAACCCCAAGGGGTTGGCTCAAGCAAGTAAGTTACTTAGCCCTGGTGCCTCAGGAAGCATCAAGTCTAAGGTTCGACTCCTCTTGTGTGCAAACAATTCCTTGAGGGGGGGGGGGGTGTATAAACTAGAAAATTAATAATAAGGGTTAAGTGCATAAAACACCTTGTGATACATGCTTACGGTGCATATCAACTCCCTCATGTGCACAAAACACCCCCCAATTTAAAAAATTGTGCAAATAGGTTCCACTTGACACATTAAAGTAATAGAATGACCAAATTACCCTTTTCTACACAATTTTCATATTATTTTAAAAAGGTTGCATTTGTGAAATGACCAAAGAGAACATAATCTAATATGACGTCATTGGGCTCCATCTGATCACGAGGGTCACTCTACGCTATTTCAGTCACTGGTGGGTCGCCTTTGATCATGAGCTGGTTGCCAACTCCAACGCCGGCAACCCACAGTCCCACAGACCGCCCTCTCTCATTCTCTCTCTCTCTCTCTCTCTCTCTCTCTCTCTCTCTTCATACTACAAAACAGATATGGAGATGAGTTACTGTGTGTGGATGAAGCGAGTCATGGTAGGAAGCAATTTGTTCTCTCAGCCTCTTGTCTTCCCATTGTTGCTCACTTTCAACCAACACTCGTTCCTCACCATTACCTCTCATCTCAGCCGTTGATGATCACAATTGTTCCCCTACAAGTAAGGCTTTACACACACACTCACACATACATATACATACATACATACATACATATATATATATATTGACACAAATTGGGCTGAAATTCAATTGTATTGAAATCACAATGAAATTACACTGCTATATACACTTCAGAGGACCTAAATTAGGAAACTCTAAAACTAGGAAACTGTCTAATCCTAGAGATACTAATTCCCTAGAATCAGGGCTGTCTAATCCTAGAGATACGAATTCCCTAAAATCAGGGATTACAATGACTAAAATATTACAAGATCTCCTAGCTAATTACAGCTATACACACACGGTTTCCTTAACTAATTACAGCTATACACACACGGTTTCCTTATTTATAGAACTGAATTTTCCACACTCCCCCTCAAGCTGGTGAATGGATATCATCCATTCCAAGCTTGCTTGCTAGTCTATGAAAAAACGTCCCAGACAATCCTTTGGTGAGTATGTCTGCAAGTTGATTGCTAGTGGAAACGAATGGCGTGCAAATTAGGCCACTGTCAAGCTTCTCCTTTATAAAGTGCCTATCAACTTCAACGTGCTTCGTACGGTCGTGTTGCACTGGATTATGTGCAATATTAATGGCTAACTTATTGTCACAATAAAGCTTCATTGGACCTTCCCACTTGACTCTTAGATCTTCTAAGACAATTTTCAACCATAATAATTCGCAAATCCCAAGTGCCATTGCTCTAAACTCGGCTTCTGCACTGGATCTTGCCACAACATTCTGTTTTTTACTCCTCCAAGTCACAAGGTTGCCTCCTAGAAAAGTGAAATAATCCGAGGTAGATCTCCTGTCAATTACAGACCCTGCATAATCTACATCAGTGTAGGCTTCAAGAGTTAGCTCCTCCCCCTTCTTAAATAGAATTCCTTTGCCCAGTGTGCTTTTCAAGTACTGTAGGATTCGATACACAACCCTAAGATGTGAGTCTTTGGGATTGTGCATGAATTGACTTACAACACTAACTGCATAGGCTATGTCTAGTCTAGTGTGTGACAAGTAGATGAGCCTTCCCACAAGTCTCTGATAGGAGCCTTTATCTACTGCCGTGTCTTCCAGAGCATCTCCAAGCCTGTGGTTGAACTTTATAGGCGTCTCTGCTGGTCTGCAACCTAACTTGCCTGTTTCCATCAGCAAATATGTTACATATTTTTGCTGAGATATGAAAATTCCTTCCCGAGAATGTGCTACCTCAATGCCGAGAAAATACTTTAGTTTGCCAAGCACTTTGATTTCGAATTCTTTCACTAAACACTTCTTTAAATTCTCCATTCCTTCCAAATCGTCACCTATCACTATAATGTCGTCTACATAGACTGGCAATGCAGTCACTCCCCCTGAAGCCGAGTGCTTTACAAACAAGGTGTGATCGCCTTGGCTCTGTTGGTATCCCATATCGAGCATTACCTTAGCAAACCTTCCAAACCAAGCTCTTGGAGACTGTTTTAATCCGTACAACGCCTTTCTTAACCTACATACCACTTGTCTTGTATTCAAACCAAACCCCGGTGGAACTTCCATATAAACCTCCTCCTTGAGATCACCATGTAAAAAGGCATTTTTGACATCGAATTGCTGTAATTTCCAGCCCAGATTAGCAGCCAATGACAACAACACTCTAACGGTGTTCATCTTCGCAACAGGAGCAAATGTCTCAAGATAATCTATTCCATACGTTTGGGTATAGCCTTTAGCAACTCACCTTGCTTTGTACCTCTCCAATGAACCATCTGACTTGTATTTCACCATGAATACCCATCTACATCCCACCGGTTTCTTCCCTCTCGGCAATTTCACCAAGTCTCATGTCTTGTTCTTCTCAAGTGCTTCCATTTCGACCTTCATGGCATTCTTCCAATTCTCATTACCTAATGCCTCGGATATGGTTTTGGGAATGGAGATTGTGTTTAGGCTTGTGAGAAAGGCTTTGTGGTTGTGGGACAGATTCTTATAGGACATGAATAAGCACGGAGGGTGTTTGGTGCATGCTCTAGTTTTCTTTCTAATAGCAATGGGAATATCATAATCAATTTGATCAAGAACTTCATTAAGACCATATTCATTAGAAATAGGTTCAGTAATTACCTCGCTAAGTCCAAGAGCAGGGGTTGATTTGGGTGATTGAACCTGCACAGATTGAGTGATTGGTGCCGTTCTTCTTGAAAAACCAGCAGTGGACGAGTAAAGTCTTGAATTTGCTTTCCCTTTATCATCTCTTGTGACTTGGGTGTATGAGGCTCAGTTTCAGGTTGTTTGGATTCGGACTGAATGTTTGGCTCAGGCTGGACTAGCTCAGGTTGATCAACAGGAACGGACTGAGTGTCTATAGACAGAGCTCATATCAGATTTATTTTTCATAAGAAAGATCCAAGACACACGAGTGTAATCATCAATGAAAGAAACGAACCACCGAGCCCCAGAAATGTTAGAAACAGTGGACGGTCCCCAAATGTCACTATGAATAAGAACAGATGTTCTTTTATTGCTTATTGGAAAAGAAGCAAGTTTGTGCTTTGCAAGTTCACAGACATCACATTGAAAATTTTCAACATCTAATCCTTTGAACAATAAAGGAAACATAATTTTAAGGACTCTAAATGACGGGTGACCAAGACAGAGGTGTTGAAGCCAAATCTTGTCTTTATTGGATTTAAAAGACTCTGAAAGAAATGATAATGGTGAGGAATTCACAACACTAACTTGACCACTGGGTTCTTCAAGATGGTAGAGACCATCCCTTTCTCTAGCATATCCTATCATCCTCCTCGTGCCCTATTCTTGAAATACACAACGAGAGGGATAAAACACCACACTGCAATTAAAATCTTTAGTGAGCTTGTGGATTGACAAAAGGTTGGTAAATAATTTTGGTACATGGAGAACATTTCTAAGTGTGAGGGTTTTGCTTATAAAAACATCTCCCTGACCAGCCACTGTTGTCACAGAACCATCGGCTATTGTTATCTTCCTATTGCTAGGACAAGGTGTATATGAGATAAATTTTTGTGACAAGTAGGTCATGTGATCTGTAGCTCCTGAGTCAGTGACCCAGGAGCTTGTGGTGGATATATCCGAGACTTTAAAAGCATGAGCAGAGGAAGATATACCTGAGAATGCCAAAGTGCAAGTACCTGTTGTAGATGGTTTCTCCAAAGATCCCAGCAAATTCTTCAATTTCTCAATTTCCTCTCTATCGAACTCAATAGATGATTCTTGAGATTTACCTTCTCCAGCCTGTTGTATATTTGCCATATACGCCTGCCCCTGTCCCTTTGGTTGTCCAGCTTTTGCCGTCCAATTTTCGTTTGCCGTCTCTGGTTTGCCGTAAAGTTACAGTATTTGTCCCTAGTATGGCGGGACTTTTTGCAAAATGTGCACCATAGGGAATCTTTATTGACTGGCCTTGTAAAATCTGCCCGCTTGTTGTCTTCATTAGATGGCTGCTCTCAGCCAAAGTTCCTCACATTTGCAGCTTTTGTAACCAAGGCCGAACTGTCCACTGGGTTATTCTCAATCATGACTCCTCTTCTTCCTTCCTCAGCACGAACAATTGCAATTGTTTCATTAAGTGATGGCAGATCTTCCTTTCCGAGTATTTGAACTCTTACTGCATCAAATTCAATGTTCAGTCCTGCAAGAAAATCATAAGTTCGGTCTTTTTAGACAAACCTCTTAAGGAGGGCTGCATCATCGCTGCATTTCATTTGAATGCACTGGTAATGATCCATCTCTTGCCAGAAGCTCTGCAACAGATTGGAGTACTCTATGATTGATAGACTTCCTTGCTTGGTGGAAGAAATCTTGGTCTTGATTTCATAGATTTGTGCAGCATCCCGGACTTTAGAGTAAGTCTGCTTCACGGCCTCCCATATTTCTTTGGCTGTGTTTAGAAACATACATGTATCACTAATTTCTGGCAACATAGAGTTCCATAACCAAGACATCACCATAAAGTCTTGTTCATCCCAAGCATCAAATTTGGGATCCCCTTTGTTAGGCCCAGTACCGAGTAAGTGACTCAGTTTGCCTCTTCCCTTCAAGAACGTGCGAACCAGTTGAGAGCACTTTAGATAGTTCTTCCCGTTCAACCTGTACGCCGCCTGGATGTTCTGCAATTCCCCTGTTGGAATCGAGTTGCAGCCTTCAGTCAAAGGAACCTCCGAGGTAGTCGTGGTGTTGCTGTTGTCGGCTGTTTCTGACATGGTCTTTTGGTAAAAGGGTTACAGTCTTGAGGGTGATAGTGTGGGGTTAGAGATTGATAATAATCAGTCTAGCGATATGAGAGTTCGCAACACTAGAAATACAATTCCTAGAATTGAGCATACTGCTCTGATACCACGACACAAATTGGGCTGAAATTCAATTGTATTGAAATCACAATGAAATTACACTGTTATATACACTTCGGAGGATCTAAATTAGGAAACTATCTAATCCTAGAGATACTAATTCCCTAAAATCTGGGATTACAATGGCTAAAATATTACAAGATCTCCTAGCTAATTATTACAAGATCTCCTAGCTAATTACAGCTATACACACACGTTTTCCTTATTTATAGAACTGAATTTTCCACATATATATATATATATGTGTGTGTGTACGTATATATATAGTCCTTAATGTTACAATTACAAACCCATATGCTCTTCTTGTGGTCTTCTGGTTTAGCTTTTTTTGAGTTTTTTTTAATACACTTATAGGATTATTCTAAATTATGAGTATAGGATATTTGTAATTGTGAATTGTAACTTTAGGTCGTTCTTGGTAGGAGGTGGTGAGAATAATGGAGTACCAAAAAAGGCTCAAAGGTGCTTCCGAAGGGATGATATAGCTGAATTTGGAGTACGTTCACTAGGTTACTTTATTTGCTCCAGTCGAATTTTTTTTTTTTTTCTTTTTTTGTGGCAATTGTTGTTGTATTTTTTTATGTTGGTAGGTTATGCTACTAAAACAAGTATGGGGTATTTTGAACTAGAAAGAATAAACAATTTTTACTGCAAAAAATGCACCTTTTGAAAATCTATGCTACTAAAGAAAGTAAAACGACATTATTTACCTAAGCACTTATCCATTGCACGATAAAAGTGTGAGGACTTGGGTTCAACTCTGAGGGTAGTGATTTTCGCTAAATAATGTCAAAGGGTAACATAGCACTCCGCGTGAGTGGGATTAGCACTGGGTAATGGTATTGTTTGTCATGTTGGTGTTTTTACATTTTTATACTACATGCATGCATGTAATGCACATTTGGCCTTATTTTTCTCTCTCTCTATACACTGTTGAATAGAGAGAGATAACAAGCTGTAAGGGAAATGTAGGGGAAATAGACATATATAGAGAGAGAACAAGTTGTAGAGAGAAAGAGAGAGAAAAAAAAAAAAAGCCTCAAAAATGGGTTTAATAGCTTTATGTGCACTAACACCCCTACATAAAGCAAATAGAGCTAATAAACACCCCTTGGACATTTTCGGAAGAATAAAGTGTAAAACGGGTATATTACATTTACTTTGTGTCAGATCTTGCAGAAAAGTGATTTTAGGGGGTGGTTTCACACAATTGTAAGGGAAATGGACACATATACATGGAGAACAAGTTGTGGAAAGAGAGAGAGAGAAAAAAAAAAAAAAAAAAAAAAAAAAAAGCCTAAAAAATGGGTTTAATAGCTTTATGTGCACTAACACCCCTACATAAAGCAAATAGAGCTAATAAACACCCCTTGGGCATTTTCGGAAGAGTAAAAGGGTAATATGGGTGTATTACATTTAGTTTGTGTCAGATTTTGCAAAAAAATGATTTTAGGGGGGGTTTTGCACAATTGTTGAACTATAAGGTAAATTACACTCAAACCCCCTGAGGTTAGGTCATATCTCAGGTAGATGAAAATTTTGGCTTTAAATTTCACTTACATTTGAATTAGTGATGTAGCATTTCACTAACACCCCAAATTTCAGTTTTTGGTAGGGTCAAAGTACTTTTAAAGTATTAAATGACTATACTGGCCTTTGACACTATATTGACTATTTTTGTGACCAAACTACCCCATATACACCAATGCCCAAGAGAGAGAAAGAAATATCCAACTCAGCAAAATAATTCACGCATAAGCCATCTTCTCTCTCCTCCAATCTCTCTCTGCACAGACCCATCCGGCATAACATTCAGGGTTGGAGCGAAAAACAAACTACGAATGCTACATCCGTGAAGTCCTCACAATGGACCTCAACTACAAGGCTATGGTCACCGAGCTGTCTACCGTCCCCGCTGTCCCCATCTCTCAACCATCCAAGCTCTCTGCCATCGATCCTTCCGAGCACCGCCGCGAGTCATTCACGGACACCTCCGGCGAGATTGAACCGGCCAGAAAGGACTCAGACAACACTGCAAAGATGGAGGAGGTGGCAGTGCACAGTGGCGAAGGTAGATGCCGTTGGGAATTTGTGTGCGGCGAAGGTGGATGCCGTTGGGAATTTGGGACTGTTCAGGGGCGATGTACTTCAAATTGGCAAGTACACGGGATGGCGAGGCACAACATGGTTGGAGCGTCGGTGATGGCGGTTCGCAGTCAAGGTTCTGGCAGTATTAAGGGACGACGAGCAAGGTTTGATCCTCGGACCAGAGAGGATTCCGGCGGTGAGCAAGAGGGGACTCGGCGCTAATGGATCTGGCAAGCGGTGGTGACATGGTTGGTTCGCGGTGTGATGTCAGTGATGGTTGGAGCTTGGAAGACTGTTACCTTCGTGGGATTGAAAGGCAGCGTTGCTCGGTAGAGAGGTGGAGGAACGGTGATGGACAGTGGGTCTAGACGACGGGGTGGGGTGGTGTTGGTGTTAAGAAATTGGGTTTGGGTTGGCAGAGAACTTGCTTGGCTTTATGATGGGGATGAGGGGTGATTGTGGAGGTTTTGGGTGGTTGGTGGGTGGAGGACCAGTGACGGTTTTGGTTGAAGGTGGTGGTTGTTATGGGTTTGATGTGTTATTTGGTTGCCAATTTGGAATGGGGCGATGGGTGGTGGTGGTTATGGGTTTAGTGCGTTAATCAGTAACAATAGAGGTTTTGGGTGGTGGTTGATGTCCTCCTGCCTGTAATTACCACCGAAAAGCAAAATTTTTTTGTTCACTGTATAACAATGGTTTGGACGGTTAGGATTGAAATAGTGGATATAAGAAAAAATATATACACACATACACTGAGGGGCCTTTTTGTCATTTAAGATTATATATATTTTGTATTAAAATTTTGAGGGTAAAAGGGTCAATTCGTAGGCAAAAAGTAAATTAGGGTGTAAGTGAAAGTTAAAATCAAAATCTTTATCTAACTGAAATATGACCTAACCTCAGGGGGTGTGAGTGTAAATTACCCTAAACTATTAGTGTTTATAGCACATTTTAAAAAATAGGGGGTGAAAGTGGTTCTTGGAGCATATAAGAGGGGCGTTTTCTGCACTTAACCCAAGTTATAAGACCAACTATTACAAAAAGCATCAGAGTTTAAGGAATCAAAACCAAACTAAAGTGAAGTTCACAAAGTAATAACCCAACCATTTGCCAGTATCCTTGTCAAGCCTATCTTGCCAATTCACACCATCAATGTCATATTTCCTACCAGTTCACTGGCTAACACCTAGTTTTTCTTATTGCAGAGATGTTGTCGTTCAGAGGTCAACTTAATAAGTCAGATAAAGTTGGATTCGGAGAAACCAAAAGTTCAGTCAATTTGCAATTTAAAGGGAGAAGAGAGAGAGAGAGACTTGTTTCTAGTTTAGTGAAAAGATCCTACAATTATCCATTATTATATATTGTTGAGTTGTGTCCCGAATTCTCTTTTGGCCCGGTTACAACTCGGCCCAGTTTTTGACCTGAGTCATGGGAACTTGAGTTCCATTTTTTTAAACCCTCTTTTGACTTGCAAGTTTCGGCCTGGTTACTAGTCTCATTGTAATCCGATATACAAGTGTGCTATTGTTCATTAATAACACTGGAAAACATATAGAGAGAGAAAGACAAGGGGATACTATGGTTAGGGTTTGAGAGATTTGTATATCTCCTTTCTTCATTCGGATCTTCACCGTGCACATAGGCTATACCCCAAAACATATTAAATCTTGGTGTTCCATGTGATTTTTTCTTTCTATTATTGCTTAATTGTTCTTGTGTTTTGGTAAATATGTGCCACTAACGAATTCTAACTTAAAAGTGTAATCAGACTTTAGTGATAAAACAAAACCTCTTATTGCTGAGAGGTTGTAGATGTACAGAACAGCATCGTTAAATCTCAAAGTTTCATCCTACAATAGCGGGAAAAAGAACCTGCATTCAACCAAGTCTTGAACAACAATCTGAACCAGTTGCGAAATTATCATTTCCTTGGAACCATGAACAACGTAAAACACGAGATTTATACTCTAATTTCATTTTATTTTGTTTCTGTTAGTTTTCTCAGCAACCAAACGGTGTACAGAATTAAAAGAAAAGCCCCTACTACTGCTACTAGTGTTACTACCAAATTGGAATGGAATTACCTCTAACACCAGCGTTATTGATCAGAGCATCAATATGGCCAAACGCCTCCCAAGCTCTCCGTACAGAGGCGTCGATGGTGGTACCATCAGCGCTGACGTCAAGCTCAATAGCCACGGCCCGAAGAGTGGTGGGTTGAGACGAGTGAGGGTGGTCCGAGAAGGTGAATCGGTTGATTTCATCGCAGAGAGATTGGAGCCGTTCGATTCGGCGAGCGGCAGCGATAATCTTGCAACCGGCTTTGGCGAGATCGAGACAGAAGTAGCGGCCGATTCCCGAGGACGCACCGGTGACCATCACCACCTTTCCGTCCAGGTCGCACCATGGCTCCAGATGGCTCGAGATTTGGCTCGTCATCTCTCCTTCTATAGGCTCTGCAAATCTTAATTTCTTGAATGAAACAAGAAATCAAAAACTAATAGAGAGACAAGTGACAAGACAGGATCGACCAGACAACTAGTTGGGTGGGTTGGTCTTGCACTACATTTAATTCCTAATCGAAAAAACTGTGCGGAGAAGTTTGGTTTGGTTGGTTGTCTTTATATTCAGCAGACTTCTCGTGCCAGTCTCGGTTCTGATACAACTTTGAATTACAACGATAATGGTTCGGATTGCGCCGCCGGGTGGATTTGAGGAGTGAAATGTTGTTAGGCTTCGTTTAGATAACCCGACAGAGAAGAGAGGAGGAGAAAAGAAAAGAAATGTATTATAATAAAACTACGGTAAATTACAACGAACGACATACTTAAGGCTTGCCGTAAGGATAATCATATACAAATCAGACAATTTTTTAGACAATCAGAACCCTTAAAAGGTAAAAAATGACGAAATTGTCCATTAATATTTAATTAATTTTAATATAAATATCATAAATTTGAAATAACGTTTTTACCCTTCCATAAATACCAACAAGGCGTCTGAATTCACATAACCATTTCAGCCCCTAAATAAGTGTCCATTGAGTTCTCTCTCTATCTTCTACAAGATCCATCGTCTAGTCCGGCTCACCGTTGACGGCAAACAGCTCGAACAAATTCGAAGCTCGGAAAGTGTAGTCTAAAGCCTTGCTCAGGCCATCACCGACAGTGATTGTATCATGCGCAAGTTTTAAAAGGAACGGTCCGTGATCTAGGTTATTGAGAGATGACTTATTGATAATTGGCTTCTTCGAGCGACGTTTTATTGACAAAGCTCCGATCCGGCGACGGCTTGGACCGTGAAAAGGTAGGCTTTGGTGTTCTTGAGCCCACCCCTTCACAATTCATGTATTTGCCCTTGGTTTTGGTGGTTGTTTTGTTGTTGGCAATGGGTGTTCATTCTCTCATATTAGTCCGTTTTCACGCAACCAAGTTTCAAGATTGTGTTCTTGAATCATGGAGGCCTCAGACTCGTCGAAGGCGACTATCCTTATAAGATATGCAGTGCACAGGGATGAAGTTACGAGGGTAAATAATTTTTGGGTATATATATATATATACACACACCAATAAAGATCAACCGGCGGTGGCGATTTGGGTTGGAGAGAAAAATGGTGGCTAGTGTTTGGGTCTCTACTGGTTTGGACTAAAAAATTCTATGATTAATTTAGGGAAGGTTAGGGTAGCGTAAGAGTGGATTGGATTGCAATTGTGTGTGTGTGTGTGTGTGTGTGTGTGTGTGTGTGTGAGAGAGAGAGAAAGAGAATGAACAGAATAAATAATAAGTGGTGGCAGCAAAGTAGTGGTGGTGCCTTTGTGGATAGGTGCTTGAGATGGAAGAAGTTATTTTAGACTTCTCAAATTAGGTAGTATGGGTAAATTGGTAATTTTTCTATTTTAAAGTGTTATATCACAAGTTAAAAGGCTTTTAGGTCATTTTATGTAATGACCTGGTCATTTTCCTTCCTTTTCATTTTTCTCGAATTTTACGAATAAATTTTATTCGTTGTCTTCTCTTTTCTGAGTTCGATTTCTCGTCACTTGGTGTCGTCTCGAGTACTCGGGAATGGTTTCCGAGACTCTTTCCTTTGGATTAACAACTTCCTTGTCAGGATCGCGGTATTTTCACATTTTCGTTTTTCGGTACTATATACTTTTTCGTTTTTTCACCGGTCGTCACTTTTTTGGTATAACCTCACTTTTTGTGTTCAGAGTTGAGTTTTGACTTCATGAGTTTTCATTCTAGTTGTTTTCCTCAAAACGCGTAACTTTACTTTTGGAGAAAAACTTGCCGGTTGTTTCTTCCTCCCGTTGGGGCGTGGATGAAAGGATTCTTTAGAAACATTCTTATTTCCTGGGGTATTTTTCATAAATATCTTTTGAAGATATTTTATTTTATGAGTTTTTAAAAAACATTCTTATTTCCAGTTTTAGGGCTTCTAATCCCAGTTGCCGCCAAACTTATTCGAGGCATATCTTTGGGCACGGGACTCGGTTTTCAACGTCGTTTCTTCCGTTATTCATTTTTTTTCATTTTGTTTCTTTTTTGTTCATGGTGTTTTACCGTTTGAGCAAATTCCACTTTTTCAGACCCAGCGAGGCCCGTTTGGGGCACTTTTAGAGTTTTTCTATAAATAGGAGGTTCTAAAATGAAAAGTCAACTTTTTCTCTTCTTCTTGCCCTTTTGCCCTGCAGCCATGGCAGCCCAAAGGGCTGCCACCCTTCTTCTTTCTTTTCCGGCCACTTCCCTCTTGTAAAATACCGTAGTGCCTTAGTGTTTATCGTAGGCCTTGGCAAGACGGTTCTTTCCCCTTTATTAAAAACCATTTTCGATCATTTTTTAGTTCGGGTTTCGAGCTCGGGTTTGGATTTTGGTGGTGCCTCATGAAAGATTGTTGTTCCCCTCATTGTCCCTGTCGTAACCCCGAAGTATCGTCAGATTCGGGGCAGTTTCCATTTGATGGTTTTTGAAATTTTCATCTTAATTTGAGGTAGGAGATGTTTTAGGATTATGTATGTGTTGTATTGAGTGTTTGCATGCTTATACAACTTGTTTGTATGCCTTTGTATTAAATCTAGAAATTTAATTTAATTATTTCTTTGTATAAGATTTAATTCACATGGATGTATATAGCTTAGAATTAAATTATGGCATGTTATTAAATTAGGCCTTGATATGTTCATTAACATATATTGAATTGGGAGTATTTGAATAAGTATTGTTACTTTTATTTAATAATTTTCTTTTATGAAAATTTAATTCACATGGTTGTAACTAGCATGAAATCAACTTGTAATGTGATATTAAAATAAGCATTGGTATGTTCTTTAACCTATGTTAATTTGAGGATATTTTGAGTTGTTTAAAAATCTAGAGAAAATTATTTAATTAGTTTAATTAATTTTATTTTAAGTGTTCTAATCACTTAATAGGATATTTGATGTGATATATGGGAAGATCATGTTATGTCCTTTAACATATATTAATTTGAGGTTATTTGGAATTGATTTGAAATCTAGATAATTTAATTATTTTATTTAATTAAATTTTATCTAATTGTTCCATAAATTTAATTATTTTTTAGAAATTAATTTTATGTTTAAATTATGGACTTGGACTTGTTGTATATTCATTTGATTATGTTTTGAGTATTGGATAACATTGTTATTATATTTATATCCACGAGAACATGTTTACATTATTGAATATATTGTTGTCTTATGTAATGAATTGCACACTTTGTATTTGACATTTAATATGTCATTGTAGCTTGAATGCATATGGCATATCTTGTGTGATTTCCATGACTTGGATGTGCATGGTATTTGGCTAAGTACATTAAATATATGCGATTTACATTTGTTGCACTATTTGTTGATTTTGGATCATTGGGGCATCATTTGTTTTGACTTGGCTAGAGTAAGGCTCTAGTACGGGAGATGTGAGGTCTCTCTATTTTATAGTGCACACTTAGGGGAAGGTACCAATGGGCTAGTAACCCAAAAGTGGCCTTTGTATACAGTTCTATTCCGGTGGGTGTCCAAGAATATCCACTTTGTTTGATTTCGCAATTTCATTTTCAAGTTGATAACTTTGAGTATTTATAACTTGATATTTTATATTGGAGGTTCCAATTATGTTTCATTATGGCATTTTGGTTAACTTTGCAATTTTGATTACAAGTTAATAACTTTGATAATCTATACTTTGATGTGCTATATTGGAGATTTCAACTAGGTTGCATTGTATCATTTTGTTGGTTTTGAATTTAAACTTCAAGTTGATGAAATTGAGAATATTTATATTGTTGTAATGTATCGGAAGTTCCATTTTTGTTGAATTGCATGATAATTCATTCTCAACTTGTATTCTTGTATATTGAATGTTTCGTTGCGTTGTACCGCATGCTTCTATATTGTTTAAATTGCATGAATGATGTGGTTTATGCTAGAAATTATCTAAGGTAGTTTAGGATACTTCCTGAGTCTCACATTTGACATAGACGCTAGGTGGCATGACCGTATGAAATAATTTATATCAACTTAATAAATTTGTAAAGCGTTAGGTCTTTGCATACTTATCTCCTACGAGTAGCTTTATGTTACTCACCCACGTAGTGGGGACATTTTCAGGTACAGGAATCAAGATTCGGGGATTCACATTATGTTTGGATGATTTGTAGATTTAAAGTTCATAATTCATGCAAATGTTAGCATGAAATGCTATTTGTAGCTTTATATGTCAAAACTTGTATATTTGGTTCTAAACATGTAATGTGTACATAAGTACACCTTTTGTAATGTATTTGACTTGTATGAGATGAGGTCATGGGCTAATGACCTTTATATTATATTTTAAGCACTTTTACTTTCAAGCTTTATTGTGGAAAAATAGAAAAATGATACGCATTAGCATCACTACATTTGCATAGGTGGTGGGAAGTGGACTTTTACACTTCTATTAGGTCTATTCAATTATTCATGAAGTGTGGCTAATGGCCAAACGGTCTTTTGAACTCATTTTGTAATTTTTGGTTTCAAATTTTCATTTTAAAGTTTATTTTAAGCATTTTTAGGTTCGGATAGGTTGTATTTTGCATCAATTATTTTTGGGAGCCGTGGACCATTCTGGCGCGCTCAAAATCACTAATTACGTTCGCGTGCATAATCATTTTAGCACACAACACTATTTAGGGTCAAATGAACACTCGGTGCAAAATTGCAATTTATTCATTTTTTGGCCTAAACTGATATAGGGGTATTTTGGGCATTTCACATCACATTTTTAATTTTTCCGATTCAAGTGAATTTTTTTTTAACTTTATTAATTTTTCGTCGTCTATCCAACGATGTACTCGGTTGCACTTGAATCTTTCTAAAAAATTACTAGTTTGCCCCTAGGGCTTTAATTGTTCGTTTTTCGTCGTTAGGCCATAACTTCTTCGTCCGGATTCCGAATTAAGCGATTTTTTAGTCTAACTTGATTAATTTTTCATTGTCTATCCATTGGTGTACCCGGTTACACTTGGATATGTCTGAAAAATTATCAATTTGCCCTTGGGACTAAACTTGTCAGGTTTTCCTTTTTATATTGTTTCCACTTGCTTTCTTTTGGATTCAGTGACTTCGTGGGAAGTCACGGATATGTCTTGGGAATGATATACATTTCTTGAGACGTTGCTTCCATGTTAAAGGACAATTTTGCCCTTGGGGACTTCTTTTGGTCTTTTTCAGTCCTTTTATTCCGTGTCGGTTCTCGTGGAGTTCTGTGGCCTCGTGGAAGGTCACTTTGGCGTCCTAGGGAT